AATTCCCACACAAAAGACTTGGGAACATGATAATAATTTCAATAAATCACAAATTTTGGAAAAATTAAGAAAAAAAATATTCTTATTTTTTGAAAAACTTTGCCCCACACTAGGATTTTGTCCTGTGTCGTGGGTGCGTTTACAAACATACAATTTCACATACACATCAGCTCAGACCCGGAACAACAATTTGTGGATCACACAAAGAGTTGTTCCGTGCGGGAATCGAAACCACAACACGTTGCGCCGCTCGAAGCCAGTTGCCCAGCCACCGCACCAACCGTGCAGTCAATCGATAATTTGTCGATTATACATAACCGGCAAATTATTATAATCGACAATTACATAATCCACAATTTGTCGATTACACATAATCTAAAACAACTGTTTGTCGATTACACATATTCGATAAAGTGTTGGTTCAGACTTCGAATTGTCCATAAATTCAGTGACAACTGAATGTATTCGCCAAAACAGACATTCAGCATGCAAATCTTAGTAAGTTGCAACATTTCTATAATAAACTAGCCACTCAGCTTGGATTCACCCTCTACTCCGCTATCTTCGATAGCAGCATGATCCTTTGTAGCCTATAGCGCTCAGGAACACTGTAGCTAATCTATCAGTGAAATAATTTTCAAAATTCGACCAGCGGTTCCAAAGATTACCACCTACATACAAACTAACAAATTGCCATTATAACCTTTTTACAATATAAGTATAGATAAGTAATTTAAGGGTGCGATAGCCATGTTCCGTTCAATGGGCCAGCTTGACCGGACTGATACCACGGTCTCATAGGAGACCCGCTTGCAACAACCACAGCGTAATGTTTCGCCGTATGAGTGAGGTTACCGGAGGCTAGTCATCCACCTTCTTCCATCTACAATTTCTAAGCTTCCTCTGCTGACGCGGGTGTCAATAGGCGACGCCGATTGCTTACCATCGGTGATCCATCCACTAGTATGCCAAATTAGGTATAGGTATCATACAAAAATTATATCTTCAAAGGTCAAAAAAACTACATATAGATACATGCATATGGTATCTATTAAAAATAATATTGAATTGGATAGTTTCATAGGTCAAAAATCATCATTCAATAAAATAAAATATTCGAAAATAACATAAATATAGGTACTTTTATTCATCCGTTTGTAGATACACTAAATTTTCGATATTTTGCAAAAGACTAAGACGTCATAATTTGGAGCTTTTCATTTCAATTTCATAGAAAATTATCGATTTTAAATATTTAATTTGACTTGATGGAAGCTACCGTATCCTGTTCTATCTAATAACTAGATTTATAGGTAGATAAGTACTGTTCGTATCGAAATGATTTTATGCAAGTAAACTGGTATTTGAGTATTCGGTATTCAAGTCAAAGAGACGTTTAAAAGCAATAAAGTCCTAATTTACAGTAGCTTATATGCACCAATCCTTTAAAAACCTTAGTTGAATACGAAGACTTTTTATAGGGTGAATAATATAAGTTACATACAGGCTGGAAACATAGTGGCCCGAATGTCAAGGCACACGATTCTCATGCAAGATGGGGCTTCAAACCTGGCCAATGTAACTTTAAGTCTAATGTGTAGGTACTTGTGTGTGTACAAAACGAAATATGTAGATACTTTTAATGATGACACCACAGACATACGGAGAAGGAAAATATCGTGAATAATGCTCAAACTTTCTACGTGTGAGAAGAGGCCTTTGCTAAGCAGTGGGCACTTATTTATTTATTTCTTCTTCATACAAACAGTGTGAATGGCGGACTTAATGCCTTAAGGCATTCTCTAACAGTCAACCATAGGGCAGTGCAGAGAATTCTTGCGGTTGGTGCGAAGCAAGGACACAGAGTCCTAGAACAGGAAACTTATATGCTGAAATAACTCATATTTTAATGAATACACGCCTTTACTTAATAAGTTGATCGTGATTAAACAGATGAAGATTTATTCGATTACCTGTAATTATTTAAAAGGTACAAAATCTTAATCAAAATATATTATACATGTAAACCTATCCGTAGCACCAATTTTATATAAAAATAAAATAAAAATGCATTTATTTTCCACCACTAATGTAGGAACAGTTTAGACAGTAGGTATATAACAAGGTTCAGGGGTGGATTGGAGCCTAACTAGGGAAACCTTCTAATTCAGGACTTCAGGTTAGGATAGGTACCTATTCATCTAACATTGTCAAAACTATAACATCGAAAACGGCAAATGATAATAAACAAAATTTATAAGTTCAGAAAATACCTATACAATAAAATACTTTAAAACAAATTCACAACATTTAAAAGCAAAAAAATATAAATCCTACCCAATGATCCCATTCGCGAAAGCTCCACAAAGCTCTATACAAATTCGAGAATCAATCAAAAATCAGAAACATCTATCTATCCCTTTCGTACATATTCAAAACTATGGTATATCCATCCTGCTTTCACGCGACACCGGAAGTGAGATCTCAAAGATGGCTGCGGCCGGATGTGGGAGGGGCGATTTGATTTATAGTGTAAGTGTAGTGGGGTGGAGGTGTGATAGTGTGGGTGTGTGTGTATGTGTGTGTGTGAGCATTAATTTGTGTTCAAATGTCTGTCTATTAGTTGCAGCGGTGGTTTGTAACTTCAAGCTTTGTGTAGAATGGGGATTAGCAGAGGTGTGAATAGTATAATGGTAAAGTTAAATCGTGATTCAGTTTATTTAAAACATCATTAGATTGTTGGAATATTATCTTATCGGATCTTTAAATTGATTAGCAATCATGTAAATTCGTAAAGTTCACCAGTTATCTTTAAAAATTTTAGGATTTTAAGTGTGGGAGAGCCATGCTTCGGCACGAGTGATACCACGGCCTCACAGAAAAACGGTGTGAACCAACCACAGCGTTGTGTTGCGTCGTGTAAGAGAGGTTACCGGAGGCCCAATCCTTCCCCTCCTCCAATCCCTCCTTAATCCCTAAATCTCCAAATCCCAAATCCCTAAAAGGTCGGCAACGCACTCGTAACTCCTCCGTTGCGGGTGTCCATGGGCGGCGCTGATTGCTTACCATCAGGTAATTCGTCAGCTCGTTTGCCGATCTATAACATAAAAAATATTCTCCTGTTTTTTTTTTTGTGACGGGGAAATCATCAAATGGCTTCTTCCGCCCATAGTTTCAGACTCTTACTGACAAAAAACCCCCAGTTCCTTCTCCTGCTCTAGGCCGAGGCCGCGGTGCCTTATTGCGCTTGTCCTGCAATCGCAGCCTCCTATGTTGTGTGTATGTTTGCGATAAGATCTAGGTTACGTTGCGCAGCAGCCAATTGCTCCAGACACTGTTTTTCATCATACATTCAATTTCACCTAAGTCGGAAGTTACTTGACCACTAACGAGGGCTAAATATGAAGATGCGATTCGTCAAATTTTTTTTTCAATTGTCGAATTTTATTTAGCCGGTATATTTTCAATAGGGATAAAAACTTAGATTTATCTGAGAGCGCTGACATCCAGCCTTTGTTACTGGTATATGGGCTCTTAAATGACGAAATATAAATCCACCTGTAGAAAAATAAAGCATACGACGGTAAGTATGCATAAAGTAACATGTTTTGTGTGATATTTCTATGTGATAGGACGGCAATCGAGCACACGGATTACTTAATTGATGGGGATTAGGGTTCTGAAGATTTAAGGATCTAGGAAACGGAAGGATTGGACCTCCAGTAGAAAAAATTCTCCATTTTTTTTGTGAATGAGGTTATCTACTGGTGTGGCGAAACACAATGATATGGTGGTTTCACGCCGGTTTTCTGTGAGGCCATGCATTCACTTGAGTCGACCCATTCGTGCCGAAGCATGGCTCTCCCACGCTTGAACAATATATATGTATAACTTAATATTTTTCATTCGTGCCAGCCCTACAAAACGGGAGCGAGTGTCGCAAAAGAGTTTTATTTTTACAGTGCGCCCGTGCTCTGCTTGCTATACCCTACTATCAATCATAATGCATATACGTGAAGGTATAAAGTTATATACCTACCATGTACATCTGTGAGGCTTTTGTTGTATAGGTAAATTACCTATACTTACCTATTCGTGACTGACGTCGTTGGTGGAGTATTTATAAAGGACTTTAAAACATGATATTTTTGCATATTTATTTGTTGAATATATTTTTTCTCCGTGGCATTATTTAGGCAGAATATTTTGATTGTAAAACTGATTAAAAAGAGTAACCATGGAGTTTCTTGCTCGTTCTTCTCCATATGAATCTACACTTTGGAACGGCTTCAGTAAGGACTGGCTAAAATTTTTTAACTTATTTAACTTTTTTTTTTGTTATGATGTTCGAAAGTGCCTTAAATGATCAGCAGTCAACAATCAGCACTAAATTGCAGAATAATATTTGGTTAATCTGAAAACAATAATTTTGCATGGCAAGTTGGTAATTGGTGCGCGATGCAAGGCCGGATTGGACATTTTTATTATTTTTAAAGATAAAATCATTAATGAATGAGTTTTTAAAGTCAGACTCTTACCACACCTGCAATCGTGGCTGGAAGAAGTTAGCGTAGCCCTCTATTAAAGAAACATAGCTATTTTCACAATTTCTTTTGCGTTTTTTTTTTAAACGTTGCCCCACACTTGTTTTTCCTCCTGTGTTGTGGGTGCGTTTACAAACATACAATTTCACATGCACATGACACCCAGACCCGGAACAACAATTCGTGGATCACACAGGAGTTGTTCCGCGTGGGAATCGGACCCGCGACACGTTGCGCGGCAGCCGGTTGTCCCAACCGTGCAGTCAAAATAGTCATAGAGGTTTTCATTTGAGCTTTTAAAAAAAATTAGAGTTACACCAAGCATACATGCGATACTATATACGAAACATTTTTCATAATAAAAGGCTTGAGAAAGGTGAACATAATGACATCTATACTAATAAATAAAAATCGACCTTTTACAATAACGTAATAAGCCCCATATTCCTTCCACAGCTGTGCAGAACGAGCGACAGCCGCGGAACACAGCCACCATTAGACCTGAAGCATTAAGAGATATGGACCAGGAAAGAGCTCTGAGAGAAGCTGCTGTGGCCGTCGGTGTGTTTGGGTGAGTTTTTACATAAATACATACTGACTTACTTTTTGTAGGTACCTGCACAAGGATGACACGCAAAATCGTGAAGCGTTCCACATTTTTTAGGGGTGCGTGCAGAAAACCTCCCCGTCGCTGGTGGCTGCTATTCCCTTATGGATACGTCCGGGGGGAAGAGCAGTACTGACTGGTGCACCCTGGTTTATTTTTTTATTTATATGGAAACTCAACAGCTTATTATTAATTTACATGAGTTCTGAGTGTTTACTTCACTATCTTATCTCAACAGCTTAAAGTTCTTACTGAACAGTGATAGCAAAATGATGACAAACTTATCTCTTAAGCCAATAACAGAGTCTCACGACATTAAAGAGGACAAAGGCAACTAGAAGTGGATATTTTTTACACTAATGCAGCTACTAAAAATAATAATAAAGGAATGTTGACACTATGTTCACATTCGCAACGATACGGGCAGGAGTGTCTCCTATCGCATGTCAAAATGGGATAGGAGAGACTGCTCTCTAATTTCTGCTGGGGCGAAGGGTCGTCCATATGTACTCTGCGATCGCAAAGTGCAGTATGGAGGAGCAAGGAGGAGTACGCCGCGGGATGCTTCACACCTCGCGGTTAGGCAGCGTTGTGGCTGTAAGATCGGAGAGGAATAGGGTCGTGAGATGCTTTACATCTTGCAATCAAAAAAAAAATGTTAGTTTGTGTTGAAGAGAGCTACCATGCCTAAAAAACATAGTGTTTATAACCCTATACATATATTTACGCTTAAATATTTAAACATACGCAACAGATTTAGATGCGGTTGTTTATGTAGAGGAAGGTTTATAAGTAGAATAGTATCCTTTAAGTAGTAAAAACATTCAGTACCACCGCGACTCCGTTCGCGTGGAATAGTGACTTCCTGCAGATGTCTGTTATAAAAACTATCCTATGTCATATCTCGAGTTTCAAACTATGTCTGTACCAAATATCACAGAAATCGGTTCTGTAGTTTAAGCGTGAAGGAAAGACAGACGGACAGACAGAGTTACTTTCGCATTTAGAATATTAGTATAAGTATAGATTAGTATAGATAGTATAGATTTACATTAGCGATTTTTTCTTTTTTTTGTCAACTTTACAAAGGATAAGGATGAAACCCCGTCTACGTTTTTAAAAATCACAGATACTTAATTATTTTCTCAAAATATTCGTGACTGTGATAAATTGTCGCATAATCTATTGGCCAGTTTAAAAACTATTTTTTTCTTTTAAAAGAACGGTGCCCCATACTAGGAATTACTCCTATGTCGTGGGTGCGGTTTCAAACATACAATTTCACATACACATGACACCCAGATTCAGAACAACAATCTGTGGATTACACAAAGAGTTGTTCCGTGCGGGAATCGAACCCGCTATACGTTGCACGGCAGCCAGTTGCCCAACCACCGCACCAACCGTGCAGTCAAAATGGCGTTGTATTCCTTTTAAAGTGAATTCTAAACGAGAACAAATGAACACAAGTTGTCAAACAATACGGGCATAGCAGTGTATGTAGTCTTTGACTCGTCTCTTGGAAACTGCGTGAAACAGTGCGGAACGCGGGTTGCTTTAGATGAATTTTTCATTGAAGCTGTCTCTGGTTGCTTTTAGAAGATATATTGTTTTGTACTTTTGCGTTTGCCTTGTTTGGTTAAAGTGTCTTTTAGTAAGTATGGTGTTTACTCGTACTATATAACATACCTAATCTAGTAGCAAAATAAAGAAAATCGGTTTAGCACAGCGTTGTATTTCACCGTATCAGTGTGTGTAGACTATAATACTCGCATATCTCTTTGCCACAAATACTTACCCATACCTCCAAAAATGTTTATCATCTCCAAACTTTGATTTTAATAATATTAGTAGAATGAGAACAAAGTTTTATTAAAATCGGTTAAGCAGTTTCCCAGAATTTCGACTAGAAAGTTCATAAACAGCAGCAGCTTCACTGACGCACAGACCGGCTGACTATTATTATATTTTGACGTTTCAAAAGTACAGTATGTGGTTTAGATGGAAAAAAATATTTCTTGAAAATGTTCGTTTATAGAAGAACCCGCTCTACGCAAACTGAAACTCTCAACAATGTTTTTTTTTTTATGGGGCAAGATCATGAAATGACTTTTATTCCAATGACTGGAAATATCAGACTCTTACTGACTAAAAACCACTCGGTTCCTTATCCTGCTTCAGGGCGAAGCCGGTACCTTAAAGCGCTTGAACCGCTGAACACCGGCCCTATTGGGCGCCGTCTGGCTCTTCAAAGAGCCCAAAAGGACCCTTACAACTTTAATCCAATCACTTTCAGTGCCACACTGGATACATATTTTGTAACTCTCACCTTCACTCGTCCCCTATCCATAAAAACCCCATGAATTTAACATAACCATAAGAATATTAACAGTTTACTTATTTGAGACATGGGAAAGCACTAACAGTGATTGCCAATTTGAATGGTAGATTCAGTTTTTATTGCCATGAATATTAAAGGTAAGAGTTTTGTTATTTTGATCGGGTTCTTATTTCAGGGTTGAGTATTCTATGTATGTACTTGATAATTTGAATCAGGACTCTTTAGACAAAAACATTTTCTTTGTTTTGTTTTTTGAATAGTCGGTACAGACGAATAAATTACTAAAGACAAGTGTGAGAGAGCAATGTTTCGGCGGGATGGGGTTAGTTTGGTCTAAGTTTTGAGTCACGGCCGGCGAAACCGGCGTGAAATATCGCTTTCGTTGTGTTTCGCCATGTGACTCAGGTTTCCTGAGGTGATCCTTCTTCTTCCCAAATCCCTCCGTTGTTGCGGGTGACCATAGGTGGTGCTGATGGCTTACCATCAGGAAATCCGTCAGCTTGTTTGCCGTCCTATCATATAAAAATTGGCAAAGCCACGCCTCAGCATAAAGTGGCCAATTTGGCTTAAGTTGTGATTGTTAACCACGACCTCAAAAAACCGGCGTAAAACATAGTGTTCCTTGTGTTTTTGGTTGTGAGTGAGGATACTGAAGTCCCGATTCCGCACTTATCCCCAATTCTCCTTAACCTTAAATGATGAGGGTGCCTATGGGCAAGCTCTATTGCATCCTATCAGGTGATCCGATTCCTCGTATGCTCGGCCCTATCGTGAAAAATGTGAATAACTTCAGCAAACAACAGTCAGTTATTATTATGACTGACCGCTGTATTAAAGCAACAAACAGCGGTAGTCTCGTACCAAAATTCTAGATTTAGTAGCACATCTAAGTTTTCATGCGCTATCAAAAAAGGTTTATAGGTAAGCAAGCTAGGCAATTCTGCATACAAAAACACACAAACCTAGTTTAAATACAGAACCAATTTAAAATATAACGGTCATTCGAGTAGAAAACGGTTGCAAAATGGCGGCTCATTCACCCGCCATAGAACGTCAAGCGCCACTGGTCAGGTTGGTTGCCAACCTTTGATCAAAGTTTACGACGGCTTGATCGGCACGGCTCGCCAACTTGACGTCATGAGCTGGTTATTTATAGCTAATTATCCCCTATATTATAATGAACTTTTGTTTTTATGTGTTCGTTAAGGGATGTTGGAATAACTTGTCAGTTACACGGATTTGCTTGTTGTTTGTTCGATGGAACTTTTAGTTCCTACTTTAGTTCTATGCTTGAAAGGCCGATCTTTGCTTATTTCGATCACAAAAGTGCATGACATCTATTCGTAAATTCTTTTATGTTACGGCTGTCTATGCACGGCGTGGATTGCTTACTATCACAAGACCAATGAAATCCTGTTATAAAAAAGAAAAAATAATAATTTGACTCTGTCCTATTATTTCGGTAACATCAAAAAACAGCTAAAAGCGAGTACACTTCAAAGAGCTATTATCCCACCACATATGGGATCGAATAGAGCTGGCGTTCAGCCGGGAATGGGGTGGTTTTTAGTCAGTAAGAGTCTGACACTCCCTCTTGTCCCACCAAAGGCAGGGGAAGCCATTCGATTATTCTCCCTTAAAATTATATCCCTACTAAGCTTCTTAAACAAATCTTAAACAAAAATCAACACGAAAATTCGAATATTTTAAAAGGAATAAACTAACAAGAACTCACATTTATTACTAAGCATTGATTTGACGTCAGACAAGATATTTATAGTTTGATTTGCTTTAGGATAGACTTTGATATAAAATGTTCTATTTTTACCTTCGTTGCGTAGCGTAGGCGTTGTCAAAGGTGACTGGGCGTCATTTTACCTACAACTCGTAGACGTCAGCAATTATGCGATGACTGTACATAAAATATTGCGTTGTGATATAGTTTTTATTTTACAATATAGTTTTTGACACCCGTAGAAAATGCCAGATGCTAGCAATTAATAAAAAATTGGTATCTTATACTCTTTCATTGTCTACGTCTGACGGATTACATGGATGGTTTTTTCATACCTATTTCGAACTTACAAGAACTTTTACTTACAGGCCACCCGTTTCCCTCGCGATGGCACTATCACCAGCGCGCTATCCATTGCTGTCTCCGCACTACGCTCCACTGCCGCCACCCCAACCGACGCAGCAACCGCAACCAGATTCCTCACACGATCACAACGAGGAAGGAAATGCGCATACTGATAGTGATGGTAAGAATAAGTATCTATATTAATATTTTAAAGAGGTTAAATTTGTAAGTTTGTATGTATAAGACAATCTTAGGAACCGCTGGTCGGATTTCCACAATTCTTTCACTTATAAATAGCTACAATGGTCCTGAGAGCTATAAAACATCACGCTATGGAGCCGAGCAGCGTGTGAAACCGCGCGAGAGCAGCTAGAATATACATATTATTATAATGAAATTAGAATTATGAAACAGCAAAACTTCTGTTACCATGCTTGTCTGTTTGCAAACGCTAATCTCTGAAACTGATTCACGGATTTTGATTAAATTAAATGATATTTCATTGAAGTCAAAAATATCAATGATGTTATTATGTTATGTTGTTTGTTATCTTGAACAAAATATACCAAGATTGACACACAACAACAACAGCAACAACAACAAGACAAAAAAGTGTCTTAGTGGCATAAAAATTGGGTATATAATCTAACTTATTGATTATATTCCAGATGACAGTATTGACGTGACTAACGAAGAGGATTCCACTTCATACTCTCCACCTGCAGCCATGAATTACCAACAAAACTGCGCTTCTTACAGGTATGAAGAAAACTCGTAGGCCGTCGTAGCGGTTCGTAGGCGCTTGTAGCAAAATCGTAGACAATCGTAGCCGTACTAAAGATCGTTATCAAAATTATAATAAGCATTTGCCTTAATAATCAAATTTTAATGTGTTTATTCGTGGAATTTATATATTTTCTTTGAATTCATATAATGTTCTTGCCTTACTTTTACTGACAGAAATGCATTTAATTCTAAATAATATCTATACATATGTGAATGTTTCATAGTCCTTTCAGGGATGATGACAATATTAATATAATATTTAGTTATAAGTACATTTACGGGTAAGTATGTATAGAGACTCGCTGAACCCACAATCGAACCCTTGCAACGGTTTAGTGGGGCTTAGCTGATAAAATACTTACCTTTCTTGAATAAAGACATTAAAAAGAAATAACAAAAAAAAAAACACTTTAATGTCTAGCTGGCACATTATACAATACTTTTTTTTCTACGGCTTCAAAACCTTTGCAAGATGCATTGATTTCAAAAGTTGTATGACGTCACAACCACCTTTCCGTGTTGTGACGTAGCGACGTAATTACTTCTTAAACAAAAAAATAAAAATACGTGTCTAAATATATTTTTTTGTTTTCAGACCATTAGGTGTTGAAAGTGCAGCGGAATCGGCAGCTCGATTACTCTTCATGGCTGTGAAATGGGCGAAAAACCTTCCTTCCTTTGCCAGTCTTGCTTTCAGAGATCAGGTTTGTACTTTAATAGGTAATGTTATTGAGGTATTTCCAAATTGATTAGACTTAAAAACTTTTAAGTATAGTAACGTTCGTTTTGGTGTTGCGGGTAGTGTCGAAAAGCGGCGATCCTTAATAATTAAGAGGCTATCAGATCTTTTGTTCCTACTTCACTAGAAAACAAATATATTTTTAAATGATAGAACCGGTGTCTATCCGCTACAGAATTGCGATCATCAATTCGCCTACTAAGGAGATTAGCAGGGTTGCTAGAGGAAGAAGAGAGAATGTCAGACTCTTACTAAATAAAACCCACCCTGTTCCTTCTCCTGCTTTAGCCGAAGCCGCGGTACCTTTTTGCAGTTTCCCCGCAGCCCTGGACATGATATTGGACCCCATATGTGGTGATCTTTTGGCTCTTTCCAGCGCGTGCGAAACGCTATGCGTTGTACACTCAAGTCTGCTTCTAGTCAGTCTGAACGAAAGCCTCTTCTCAAATGGAGGTTTCAGCATTAACTGTTCAAACTGGACAGCCGGTTTCAAACTTATAATTAAAAAAAATACAATGGAATTGAGAACATTCTCTTTATGAAGTCTGTTAAAAAATCAAGTCCAAGTTACCCCAAGAAACTCCCCTTCACCGTTTGCCAGTGGTATCTAAATAAGCTTAAAAACTTTTCAGTAATAAATAACTGTTTTTTTATTTCCAGGTGATTCTCCTAGAAGAAGCTTGGTCGGAGTTGTTCCTACTTAACGCCATTCAATGGTGCTTGCCCCTCGACGCTGCGTGCGCCGCGCTCTTTGGAAGCGATCAACTGGATCAAGGTAGATAATATTATCTCTAGTACCATTTATACATTGACCCATTCGAAACGAACTCTAGATCGTTTAGCATTTGGCTAGTTGTATGCGTTTTGGAACTAAGATCTTGTTCCAAATTCAAATATCCCCTAAACCTATTGCAACAAAACTAAATGGGCTATGTCATGTTATTGTTAGCTTCCAAAAAAAAAAGCTCAATTGGTATACATGACATATGATTTTAGAGGTGAGGACAAATGACTAAGATTTCAAATTTGATTCATGTTTACGACTACGCAATCGAATTTAGTCGTTACTGTTACTTACTGGGACTAGAAATGGATTCCACACCAGACGGATTATGTACGTCTCTTCAACAGTATGCTACAGTTCAATACATAGTTTTTTGTAAAGCCAAAATCATCAAATGACTTCTCTCGCCCAGGGTAAGGCGTGAAGGAGTGTCAGATTCTTACTGACTAAAACCCCTTTCTTTTCCTTGCTTTAGACCGAAGCCGCGGTACAGTCAGGGGTCAAAAATGCAATTAAACTCTACCAATTTTAAATGACCAAAATATTTTTGTAGAATAGAGTCAATGGTTGAGGACTGCTTTTGAACATTAATTACAAAAAATTTTTGTCACTTTAAAATTTGTAGAGTGTAATTGCATTTTTGACCCCTGACTGTACCATATTGTGCTAACCCCACAAGTCCGGCTCAACATTGGCCTTGTAGGGTCATGTCTAGTTCAATTTATAGCTGAGATCATCTTCATCATTAGTCTCAGAAACACCATGTCTCGAATTAAACCAAAAACTTTGTACACAGAAAGAATACGACGGCTTCATTGCGTCACTATAAATGGTTTTGCAGAGAATGGAGTGGACTCGGCAACGTTGCGACGTCTGAGAGAAGTGCTCGCCAGATACAGAACTGTTCTCGTCGATCCAGCTGAGTTCGCTTGCATGAAAGCCATTGTACTATTTAAATCTGGTAAGTTCATTTCTTTGTATAAAGAGAAGGGAAGTAGGTTATAGGCCTCATACAAACGCAACGCGCGCGGCTTGTATGTGTGCGCCATAGCACCTACGCGTCGGCGCACGCACACTGTAACAAAATCTCGACCCGTTTCTCAGTGCGCCAGTCGGGGCTAACACTTCACGAGGTTCGCGCGTCACTGTTTTTCGGCACCGCTAAATTGAAACAAAATGTCTGATAATCGCAGGAGAACGTACTGCTGTGTGTTTGGGGGTCTTAACTTGCAAAAGTAATTTATAAGGATGCGAATATATTACACATTAAAGTTTAATAGCGAGGCGTTTCGTAATAGTCGAAACCGACGAAAGTATTTTTCTGTAGCTAAACAAGTCATATTTGTATTATTTACGTTTGTATTAATTTAAAATAAATATGGTCCTTTATGTGTAAAAATACTACATTATGCCTAAAAAAATACAATGAGAAAATAATGTTAACACTAGCTCTTAGTCTATGTTACCGCCTGTGCCATCTAGCGACATAAAGAGTCACACCTCACAAACCCTGTACTCAGACAATACAAGTAAAAAATACAACATCCCGACCTTTGCCAATTTATAGGCACTGAATTAATATTTTGCTAAAAGTGACAATCCTAAGACAGTAGGCAATTATATCGCGGATAGCCTTCTCTTTATACTATGTCTTTAGCGGAACTCAAAGAGTTTTGAACCTTTTTTCGATGACCAAAGTAAACAACAAAGACCTTGGAGTAATACATGTGAATTTGGAAATACACAATACACGATTCCTGAATCGTGCTTGAGATTTCTTGTCATCTCCTTAAAATACTTATATTTTGCTATTGTAAAACAGTTGCTACCACAGAAGAGCATTTGAAATGAATACATATAAGAAACAAATATTCTGTTCCGGGTATAGATATTCAGGACCAACTTTATTGCCATTTATCGATCTTATTAGTAACCATTTAATCTTAATACTTAACGATTTTTGTATATGACACGATTTACCATAAAAAACAATACATTCTGCTAAAAGAAACTTTATCATTACAGAAACCAGAGGCCTAAAAGACCCATTGCAAATAGAAAATCTCCAAGATCAAGCTCAAGTGATGTTAATGACCCACGCTCGCACAGCTCACGGAACAGCACCAGCGAGGTTCGGCAGACTCCTTCTCTTACTCCCACTCTTACGTCTAGTCACTCCACAGCAGTTAGAAAGAGAATTCTTCGCGAAGACTATTGGACAGACTCCTATGGAAAAAGTTCTAGCTGATATGTACAAAAACTGATAGATTGATGGTTAAATATCGAATTGTTTTGGTAAAGTCGTTTAAAGATATTTGTTTTTCCTGTTTACACACATAAAGCATACTGATTTATAATTATTATTATGTGCAATATTTTTCTTTATGTACCAGGCGAGCATAAATACGTGTTAGTTCAATATTCCTATTGTTCTAGTACTAAGGACGGCAATCCGCGGCCTCATTACAAAACAAGGTTTTACTTTAGTAGAGGTCTAAAACAATTGAGCTAGTTTTTGTATTTCGAACTGAAGACAGATGAGAATAAGTTTAAGTGCGGGAGAGCTATGCTTCGGCACGAATGGGTCGGCTCGACCGGAGTGATACCACGGCCTCACAGAAAACCGGCGTGAAACAACCACAGCGTTGTGTTTCGCCGTGTGAGTGAGGTTACCGGAGGCCCAATCCTGCCCTCCCTCAATCCCTCCTCAATCCCTAAATCTCCAAATCCCTAATCCCTAAAAGGTCGGCAACGCACTCGTAACTCCTCCGTTGCGAGTGTCCATGGGCGGCGCTGATTGCTTACCATCAGGTAATCCGTCTGCTCGTTTGCCGACCTATTACATTAAAAAAAAAAAAGATTCAAAATTCATGTCAGGGCTGATTTTTCAATGGTTAGATAAAAGTTATCTGGGGTATAATAATGATGCTGTCGCGTCAGAATGTTTGTATAAGACAGTGACAGCAACAATTTTATTCCTTGACTGTTGAAAAATCAACCTTCAATAGTTTAAAACCGTAGACTAAAGATATATCTTGTTATGTAATAACGGGGGTTAGGTTTTGCATGAAGGTTTTAACCTTACGACGTATAATCGAGTTGTATTGTACAGTTCGATCAGATATTCGCTAGGATTTGCACACACAGTTTTCTAGGCGAGTCTTGTTTCGAAAAAACGCTTTCCCCGCAACCCTGTCTAAACATCAGCCCCATAGGGCCACGTCTGTGGTGGTCTATTGGCTCTTTGAGGCACGCACGGAACGCTACGCGCCGTACGCTCGGGTCTGGTTCAGTCAGGCGGCGAGCTACCCTTACTCGCCGTCCGCAGACCCGCGCTTACGGTAGACCGTTACTCGATTTTTGGCGCCCAGAATGTCGCCTACTGCAGCGACTAAGCCGAGTAACTTTGAGAACCTAATAATATGAGTTTTGTGCATAGAAAGCAAGTCAACATGTTTTTATAAGGCCTATATTTTATACCATATACCAAAATCTTTGCCAATTTAAATTTAAAACATAAATAAAAACTTCTTTGTTCCTGTACTATAAAATTATTACTAAGATAATGTAATTTTAGTGTTAAATTCTCCATGTAAGTGCTTAGCAATGCAATGTAAACCTTATAAGTTTTAGAAATAAGATGTAGATTAGAATAACTATTAAAATATGTGTACTTTAGTTTATTTTTATTTTAAGCTCTAGGTTTCTGTATATATAAATGTTAGATAGTATTAAAAACTTAACGTTATTATAAGAATTAATCTAATATCTCTTTTTCTCCCTTCTGAAATAAAAAAGGATTCATAAAATTATTTATAATTTTAAATTAACAATAACTAAACTACACATCTAAATTTTTATAGAGCAACCAAGCTTTTGCTTTGACTGCACGGTTGGTGAGGTGGCTGGGCCGTGCAACGTGTCGCGGGTTCCATTCCCGCACGAAACACTCTTTGTGTGACCCATAAATTGTTTTTCCGGGTCTGTGTGTCATGTGCATGTGAAATTGTATGTTTGTAACCGCAACCACGATACAGGAGAAAATCCAAGAGTGGGGCAACTTTAAAAAAAAAAAGAAGCTTCGCCACCTATGGGTCGGTTAGACCAGAGTGATACAGGCCTCACAGAAAACTTGAATGAAACAATCACAGCGTGATTGTGAATTGTGGGTTATTATGTCTCATTGTAGTTAATATAGGTACTAAAATCTCCTTAGGTACATCCTAAAAATAACATTATAAAACATTGACTTATATTAATTATTTTTTTACCATCATCATCATCATCAGCCCATAAGTGCCCACTGCTGAGCAAAGGCCTCTTTTCACACGGAGAAGGTTTGAGCGTTAATCACCACGCTTCCTCAATGCGGGTTGGCGATTTCAAACTTATAATTAGAAATTATAAGTCCAGGTTTCCTCACGATGTTTACCTTCACCGTATGTCAGTGGTGTCTAAATAATTATAGAAAGTACATATAACTAAAAAAAAGAACTATAACTAGAAAAAAGTCACATTGGTACTTGCCAGGTTCGAACCCTCATGCATGAGAAGCGGGCTCCTTAACCTCCGGGCCACCACGACACTTCGTCTTTTTATAATATTACAATAATAAATTGTAAATTAACAATAGACTTCATTGTACATAAATGTGTGGTTGTGTGGTCATATTTTTTTACAGTATGGGTCCAACTACAATGGGTCACTTCGGATCTCAAAAAACAAAAAGTTTAATTTCGTGTGTGTGTCAGTCTGTCGGTCAGTCCTATAGTGAAGCTATTTGCTCTTTCCAAAATGTAGATTGTTATGAAAAAGAACTAACAGGAAACTTTACTGTAATTCTTTCAATCAATTTCACAATTCACTTCATTGTTACATCATTAATTTAGTCCTCCACGACGCATGTTTTTTTTTCATGAAATACTTACCACATTGAAGTGGTGACGATGGCACTGCATTTTATCTGTTACTGGTTTTTCTGGCGACCCAACCAAAAGGGCGCAAGGCTGATAACTATCTGAGGACAAAAAAGTACCGGTGTTTATGCAAATGCAAAGAAAAAAAAAACAAATGAAAAATGAAAGCAAAATATCATTAATATGGCAAAAAATATGAATATTAGAAACTTAAAAAAAGGTTTAACATCTTAAAACTGCAATTACAGTGTTGTGACGTGTTTACCTAAGCTCAACAAGTCGCTTTTAGGGAGTGGTAGACTCTTACTGAGGAAAAATCACACCGTTCCTTCTCCTGCTACAGGCTTTTTTTTTGAAAATCATCAAATGACTTCTCCCTCCCAGGGCTGGGCGGGAGGGAATGTCAGACTCTTACTGACTAAAAACCCTCCTGTTCCTTCTCCTGCTCTGAGCCGAGATCGCGGTGCCTCATTGCGCTTACCCCGCAACCCCGGCTGAACATCAGCCCTATAGGGCCCCGTCTGTGGTTCCTGCTACAGGCTGTGATCATGGTATATTTTGCGCTTGACTCACAACCCCGGCTGTAACAATTCTAAAAACGATGTCTTTATGCTAGTAAACGTAGTAATAATAAAGCAATGGCTCGCGCATCTCAATCATTCTTAAACCACCTTTATCTCAAACATATAAAAAAGTACACATTATATAATTATTATTTTTTTTGAGGAAAATCATCTAATGACTTTCGTCAGAAGTCATTCACGGCCCCGTTCCTTCTCCTGCTCTAAACTAAGGCCGTGGTGCCTCATTGCGTTTACCCTGCAACCCCGGCTGAACATCGGCCCTATAGGGCCCCGTCTGTGGTGGTCTATTGGCTCTTTGAGGCGCGCGCGGAACGCTACACGCCGTACGCTCGGGTCTGGCTCTGGTCGGGCGGCGAGCTACCCTTACTCGCCGTCCGCAGACCCGCAGGCCGGAGATCGTCTCTCGAAATATGAATATTGCAACATAATTCTGACATAAACTTTATAAATAACACAAACATGTAATTATGTCCATATAGACCTTTTATCATGACGTCATTATAATTGCGATATTTGCTTCAATAATATGATGTAAAGTATTTTAATTTAATTGCAATAATAACTTATAACTAAAATAATTAAATTAAATTTTATTATTATCTGAATAAATTATGTTTTTCCTTAACATACATTACTATTTATATTGATGATTTTAATACTACCACTTTGCTGCAGTTTCGCTTTTATATTAATTCTAGCGCACCGGCTCCGCACGGTAGCTATGCTGATACTAAATTTCTCCTCTATTGAATTGATGTTATCCAAACTAATATTATAAATGCGAAAGTAACTCTGTCTGTCTGCCTTTTCTTCACGCCTAAACTACTGAACCGATTTCTCTGAAATTTGATACAGACATAGTTTTCAACTCGAGAAAGAACATAGGATAGTTTTTATACAAAAAATCTGCAGAAAGTCACTATTCCGCGCGAACGGAGTCGCGGGCAAAATATATATATGTCGCAGGGATATGATAAAAACAGAGGTTTCGCCAAATCCCTAAGGGATTTGATCAAATCACGGAGGATGTTAAAATAACGCCTTCCTCTTCAATCACTCTATTTAAAAAAGCACATCAAAATCCATTGCGTATCTTTAAACATATAAGCATACATAAGAATATAGGGACAGAGAAAGCGATTTTATTTTATGCTATAGAGTAATTCGATTTTTATACTACTCATACAAAGGCAGACTTAATACAACTAAAATTAAGAATCGGGCCTCCGGTATCCTCATGCACTCGGCTAAATACAACGCTGTTGTTGTTTCACGCCGGTTTTCTGTGAGGCCGTGGTATCACTCCGGTCGAAGCTGACCTATTCGTGCCGTCATAAAAGGAATCAGATTAAAAAGAATATTCATTTATTAAATAAACATTTTTAGTAACCTCAATGCCTTTAAAACTGAGTAATGTAAAAATAATTTCTCAATATATTTTTATTTATCACTTATCTACAAATTTAACCAAACATACACACGAAAATTACAAACTTTCCGACATAACTCCATTAATAAACAATGATCGAATTGTTTTTCTTTAAATTCCTTCTAATAGTTGATGTCATCTTAAACTCATGAAGTCATTTATTAATCTTAATGACATCATCCTATATGCTGTCACCATTAATACGTATCTACAATGTTAGGAAAAACAGTGACATATTTTATGTTTATTACTTACTAGCGGCCTGCCCTCGCTTCGCACGGGTATCTCGCTATCAAAGGGTAACTTTTTTCTAATCTTACCCTCTACTTTTCTAA